GGTTGGGCAATCCTACTTCCGTAGTGATACTGCCTCGGAAACCCAAGGAGGGGTCGCTATGAGTCGGGGCAGACTCGACAGCACATAACAACAACAACATTGTTGTTAGTGGCTGTCAAGTTAATTCTAACTTATGGTGACCCCATGTGTGCAGAGTAGAACTGTACCCTAAGGTTTTCAAGGTTGTGAGCTTTTGGAAGCAGATTGCCAAAACTGTCCTTGGAGGGACCTCTGGGTGGGTTTGACCACCAAACTTTCACCTGCTATCAAGCACTTAACCATTCGTGTCACCCAGAGACTCCTTAGACCCCACATACAAGGAGAAAAACAAGTTTTTCTCACCTGATTCATAAGGTAGTTGCAAGAAATGACAGAGCAGAAGCTCTATCTTGCACTTAAGACAGAAGGATTAAAAATCTTCCTTCTGATCGACTCTTCTCCCCACCTCCCCAATTCCAACCTTCCCATCAGGGCTCCCTAAGGAAGCAGGCAGAGCTAATTACTGCTCAAAGTATGCTAAGAAGAACCATGCTAGCATATCTTCTTTTAGGGAAATTTCTGTTGCTTGGAAGCTAAAATCAATGCCTGGGATTCAGTCAATTTCAATTTGTTAGACTGAGGCAGATTCATAGGACAGGATGACTGTTTTTCTCAGTATAGAAAATTGTTTTTTGATGGGGTTGTCAGGAGAAGGAGCAGGGAAAATTGCAGATTATATAACCTATTTGTTTAGGCTTACCTAAACCACTGTTGTGGACTGAACATCTTTATATATGTAATTTTTAGTATTCCTAACATTCTATTGTGGACAATACCTGTATAGTATTTCTTAGCGAGAAAAAAAAATTAGGTTTTAAATTAAAAATGCAAACATATAGACTGTGTGTGTGTGTATCATACAATTTTCATTTCATGAAAATTAGGAGTTTGTTTTTATTTCCTCTGCTTTTTTTCTTACTTCACATTATTGAATATTTCCTTTCAAGGACCTCTCTCTTTCTTGGTTATTTTAAGAACTTTTTCTCCCAGTGGGTGGTCTAGGTGACATTTCTCTAAAATAGAAATGATTCTCATTCTATTTGATATATATACTTTTTTTCATTTGCTCTAGGTGTGGTCAAAATAAGTGATTACCCCCTTTCACACAAAATTTTCCTTAGAGCCAGGTCACTAGGCAGTTTTTGAGGGCAGGAGATAATTATACTCCCTTTTCTTTTCTAAACTTAAAGAATAAATATCCTCGTCTTGTTTTGGAACCATATCATGCTGATCACCTTGTTGTTATTGTTGTTATGTGCCGTCAAGTCAAACCCGACTCATAGCGACCCCTCCTTGGGTTTCCGAGGCAGTATCATTACGGAAGTAGGATTGCCCAACCTTCCTTCCGAGGAGTGGCTGGTGGGTTTGAACCACCAGCTGTCTGGTTAGCAGGCAAGTGTCTTAGCCACTATGCTACCAGAGCTCCTGCTGATCACCTTAAGACTTATTATTATTTTTTTTTTTTAATTTTTTTATAGTGCTTTAGGTGCAAGTTTACAGAGCAGAGTTTGTTTTACATTCAACATTTCATGTACATTTGGTTTCACTCCCCAACGCACCTTAAGACTTTTTGAGACAAAAGAATTTAGTTTCACTTGAGATGTCATTGGTAGTAGTAAAAACAGTGTCTTAATTATTGAGGGTTTACAATATGTCAGATACTTAATATACAAAATCTTAGTTAATCTTCACAAGAATAAAGCAGTATGATTTTATCACCTTTATAGAAGGGAAATGGAGGCTTAGAAAGTTAAAAGTTCAAGTTAGAAAGTTAAATTTCAAGATCACATAGTTTGTCAGTGGTGGGATTAGAATTTAAACCAAAGTCTTTCTAACTTTCTTTTATTGCCAATTGTTTTATTTCATTGTTTGAAAAGTAACATAAACACACACATTACATTAGTAGATTTATTTTTAAGTATAAAACCAATATAGGTATTTTTAAATTTTTTTATTTTGGTGAAAGTATATACAACCAAAGATATACCATTTCAACAATTTCTATGTGTACAAGTCAGAGACATTGGTTACACAATCCAAGCTGTTCTATCACACTTGCTATTTTTTTCCAAATTATTCCACCATAATTATTTTAAACTCACTGTTTCCCATCTGACCTTTCAATTTGCCACTGTCAATTTGATCTCAGATAGATTTTTTTTTTTAAAGAGCAATGCTCAAAACAGATGTAATTTACTAATTAAGATAAACAATTTATTTATTTATTTATTTTTTCAAAGAAAGCTTTGAGGAGTAGTTTGGGTTTAAGATTTAATGTTTAAACATTATCTCAGGACAATAGTTTTAGGGGTTAATCCAGCTTCAATGACCTCAGAAAGTCTGGATTCCATGGAGAATTTGAAAGTCTGTTCCACACCCCACCCCTCTTTGATCAGAACTCTTCTATAGAGAATATTTTATTAAATGTTCGCTAACAGTAGCCAGACAGCATCCATTCTTCTGGCACGATGGCAAAGGAGCCAGTGTTTCATGGAGGCAACCAGACACACATTCCAGTTCCTTCTCTGATTCTTGACTCTCCCTCCTCTGCTGCTCTAGGTAATTAGACACTAGCTGTAGTTTGGACAGCTGCTTGCTAGCTTTTAAGACTCCAGTAACTATGCAATGAAATAGGAAGTAGAATAAGATGTACTGAGAAATGGTATTAGGCCAACTGATTAGGATGTCCCTCAAAACCTTGTCCCTAATCCTCCAAAGTAAGAAAATAAATTCTGTGAACAACTCAGCCTCAATAGTTGCTTTTTGTTGTTGTTGTTAAAAATTACATAAAATAATATTTTCCAATTCAACATTTTTCAGGTGTACAGCTTAGTGATATCAATTACATTAATTGATCATGCAACCATTACTCTTAATTGATCCCAAATTTCCCCATCACCATAAACAGAAACTCACTGCTTCCTATACAATATTTCCTTTCCTCTCCCTCCCTCCTACATCTGGCATCCATTAATACATTTTGGTCTCCATGTATTTGCCATGTTTTATTTTATTTTAATTAAGGAAGACTTGGGAGCTCTGGTGGCGTAGTGCCTAAGGCATTTGACTGCTAACCAGAAGACTGGTGGTTCAAATCCACCAGCCACTATTCGGAAGGAAGGTTGGGCAATCTATAGTAGTGATACTATCTCGGAAACCCAAGAAAGGGTCGCTGTGAGTCTGATCCGACTCCACGGCAGCGGTTGCATTGCATTGCAAGGAAGACTTACTATTTCTGTGGTGTAAAAAATATCTACTTCCAATTCAGAAAACCTCTTCACAAAAATAAAAGACAAAGAAAAATGTTATTATTGAATAAACATTAAACCAAAATGTGATGCATCACAGACAATCTGTTAAAGAGTTTTTAGTCAGAAAGAAATTTGTCCCTTTTTATGGCTAAGTGATAAAGCCCATTATATTTATATTTTCAAAATATAATGGCTCATTTTCTAGTATCTTTGTGGCTGGAGGTAGATTTGCAACTTGGGGCCATCTGACTTTAGCTCCTTCCTGGCAGCAGTAAGTTAGGGGAAGACTGCTAGAAGTTACATTTCAAAGAGGTAGCTGCCATATTGTTGAGAGAACACTTTAGATTTACATAGTTTTCAAAGAGACAGAGGAAAGAATTCATAATTATAAATCATCTTAAAGTGAATTCTAAAAGAACAGGGAGAAAGGGACTCTCTTCCTTTGTTCCCAACAGGCAGAATTAAAACTTCTTATTTTTAATTTGTATTTGTCCTTGGGAGCTCTGGTGGCACAGTACCTAAGGTTTTTGACTGCTAACCAGAATGCTGGCAGTTCAAACCCACCAGCCACTCCTTGGAAGGAAGATTGGGCACTCTACTTCTGTAGAGATACCACCTCAGAAACCCAAGGAGGGGTTGCTATGAGTCAAAAAATGATACAACAGCAATGGGTTTTTGGTATTTGTCCTTATACTGTATGTTTTTATTAATTATTTGATCAATATACATACAAACACCTGCTTTGGGCCAGCACTATATTGAGGATGATGAAGTGGAAGATGGATGTGGGGATCTCGACTATTTCATATTGGTGCAAACTGAGAAACAAGTTTTCAAGCTGATAAATCACAGTGCCTGGCAAGATGCTGAGAACAAAGTGTAGTATAAATGAAAGGAGAAGTAGAGGCCAGTCTAAAACTATACTATCTATCTATCTATCTATCTATCTATTTACCTGTCTGTCTGTCTGTTCATCTATTTGTCTATCTGTCTATTATCTATCCATATCTATCTATCTATCGATCGATCGATCTATCTACCTACCTATCATCTATCACCTATCATCTGTCTGTAAAAATGGTATGGGGAAGGCATCTGACATCCTCTAACTTTGCAAGGGGAGGAAGAATCAAGATCAACAGCCAAAGGGTGATTTCTATGAAGTGGAAGTCAGGCGTGCTGCCACTGTCCAACTTTTCCAGCAATTCTGACACCAACTATCCCTTCCACAGCACTCTCTACTTATCTGCTAGGTTTGATACTTCATTGCAATGGCCACACAGAACTCAGACAATACTCACTATTATGGGGTTTATTAGGAAAGTCACAGGTTGCAATTCAGAATCAGAAACAGCTCAGGATACTTTATTTAGTCGGGACAGCTTCTTCTCAGCCATGCCACAGGTACACTTCCCTGTGGCCTCAGCCTCGCGGCTTTGTGACCCCTTGACCTCTTTCCTGCTTGGACAAGTGTTACAAAGCTCTTTCAACTCAGAATACAGGTCTCCAGAGAGACATTTCACTCTGCCAGCAAGTCTCCTGCCCAAAGGTACTCAGCTTTCTTGCTTGAAGGGCCAGGAAGCCCACCACTCTGTCTCTTGGTTCTGCCGCCTCTGCTGCCACTATTTCTCAGCCCCTGCTTTTCATCACCTCAGCACGGGGGTCTTGGGTCCAAGGATGGGCTCCACTCTTGGCTCTTTTTACTTGATCATAGTGAGAGCCCCCTTTCCACCTCTGGGATGCCTCATTTTAAGCCTACCAAGATGGCAAAACTGAGCAATGCCCACATTAAGATTCCATATACTTGATTTGCACAATCCCACCCCCATGCTGTGCATGGGGTCACTATGAGTCGGAAAGGACTGCACGGCACCTAACAACAACAACAACAACCCCCACGTGGGAGTCATATACCTTATTTACAATGTTAGCAAGCTATCTGACCCCCTTGGTGGTCCAAAGCACCTTACATTTACATAGTCCCACCCAGTCATCTGGTGGGAGTCACAAAGACAATGTCTAGAAGGAACAAATATGTTTCCAAGTAATTCACTGCACTGCTCTATCTATCTATCTATATACCTATCTATTTATCTACCTATCTATCTATCATCTATCTACCTACCTACCTACTTTAATATAACCTAATTTCCCATGACTCCTTTCAGTATGTGGTAATATTGCTGTTCCATATATTCCTGGCACAGACTCAATATACCACATGCAATCTAATAAAAGACACATAATTTCTTCCTGTTCATAAAGTGGGTACATACTAGAAGGGAGATAAGTTCCTTGAGAAAATAGAGGTATAAGATTTTTGCACATATATTAGCCAAATGACTGAAATTTATGTCATTCTTTTCCTAGTTTGAGGTACAACCTACTAAAAAGTAACATAATTACCCAGACAATAAAGTCAAATCACATGCAAGTTTAAAGATACAACTTCCTCTATTGTCACCCCCTAAAGGTGCCCTGGTAGTGTAAACAGTTAAAAGCTCAGCTGTTAACTAAAAGATTGGTAGTTCAAACCCATCCAGGAGCTCCACAGGAAAAAAGACATGGTGATCAGTTTCCACAAAGATTATAGCCAAAAAGTCCTGTGGGAAAGTTCTAGTCTGTCATCTGGGGTCACTATAATCAAAAGCAACTCAATGGCACACAATAATTGTCACCCCTAGCCTCTTTTTATTATGAGACAATTGCTTCTTTCTCAGGCTTTTTGTCTTGGCAAGTGTCCCAGCCCATGCCAGGAAGCATCTGTGGCTTGGTTTTGGGTTTGGGGACAGCCTGCAGAGGTGTGGAGATCACTGTGCATTTGCTGCACAGAGGTAGATGCCAGAGTGTTGGGGCTCAGAGGCTGTGATATGCAGGGAACTTTGCTGTTTGTTCTCATCCAGCTTGGCAGTTACTTTTTCATGACTCTTCTCTTCTCCACCTTTCTGTAGCGTCATAAAGAGGGTCAGTCCTTCCCTATGCTTCTGCTTGTACCAGTTTAAAGAATATACAGTTTTTGAGCAATTGCAGCTTATGGTGAGATCCTCTCCTTCTTGGATGATCAGGGACTGAGGACTTTGCTCCACTTCTTGGCTACAAACCCCTGTTCAGAAAGGCAGTGTAAAGAAAGCATAGGAGATCCTCTTGAGATCTTTACACTCATAGTTGAGTGCTTTTCTCCCCTTCCCAACATTCCCTAGGCAGCAGCAGCATGACATCAACATAGACCAATATTGCCCATATTTCCACATATCTGATACTCAAAAGGGCTTTTCTAGGATAGAAGATGACTTGGTTCCTGTTCTCATGAAGCTGTCATTGTACTAATACTTTCCCAGACTAACCAAGTACTCACAGGTTGCCTGCAATACCAGTAGTCCCACGAGTACTTGCAAAAGAGTCTCCATCCCTTGGTTCCTCAGAAACAGCCACATCAGGTGTTCCTGAATGGACTTCCTCATAGAAGCTACTTCAGCTTAGTTGTCTCTCATTTGTGTAGGAGACTGCACCCATCAGACACCCTAGCTGGTTTCCTGTTTCTCCAGCACTATACAAATCTATCTTAAGTACCTTTTTTCTTAAATAAATAAATAAATAAAAATTGTCAAGGATTTCATTTTACTTGGAACTACAATCAACACTTACGGAAGCAGCAGTCAAGAAGTCAAACAGTGTATTGCATTGGGCAAATCTGCTGCAAAAGACCTCTTTAAATTGTCAAAAAGCATAGATGTCACTTTGAGGACTAAGGTGCACCTGAACCAAGCCATGTTATGTTTCAATTGCTTCCTATGCATGTGAAAGCTGGACAATGAACAAGGAAGACAGAAGAAGAATTCATACAATTGTATTATGATGCGGGCAAAAAATATTGAATATACCATGGACTACTAGAAGAATTGTTGTTGTTATGTGCCATCAGAAGGAAGGTTGGGCAATCTACTTCCATAGTGATACTGCGTCGGCAACCCAAGGAGGGGTCGCTATGAGTCAGGTCTGACTTGACAACATATAACAACAATAACAACTAGAAGAATAAGTAAATCCCGGGAGAAAGAGGTACAGCCAGAACACTCCTTAGAAGCAAGGATGGTGAGTCTTCATCTCATTTACTCTGGACATATTATAAAGAAAAACCAGTCCCTGGAGAAAGACATCATGCTTGGTTAAGTAGAGGGTCAGAAAAAGGAGGAAGAACCTCAATGAGGTGAACTGACTGTGGCTGTGACAATGGGCTCAAACATGTCAATTATTGTGAGGATGGTGCAGGATTGGGCATTGTTCCTTTCAGTTGTACAGGATCACTATGAGTTGGAACCAGCTTGATGGCACCTAACAACAACAACAAAAACAATACACATGCAGCATGTACAAATATGTATATACCAATGCCCATAACTTTCCTATACAAGCACATGCGTGTATTCCTATATGCCCTCCTACAAGTATATAGCATACATACCTACCTATGTAACCAGTTACTCACAAATTTGTGGTTGCTATCACTGCTGTGGAGTGGTTTCTGACGCATAGCGACCTCTCCTTGGGTTTCCCAGGCAATATGACTATGGAAGGAGACCGCCCAATCTAGGAAGATTGCAGCCCAAAGAGGATTGGACGTTCTACTTCCATAGTGATACCACCTTGGAAACCCAAGAAGGGGTCACTATGAGTCTGATCCAACTGCATGGCGGTGAGTTTGGTTTTTTTTGTTTATTGCTATTGTGGCAGAATTGAATATTTATGGTATTTATCTCAGTTGTCCTTTATTCTTGTGTACCTTTCAGTGTCTTCATTTACCTTGGTCATACTGTGCTAACTTCCCCTCATATTGTGTCATTCATTTCACCAGAATTAACACAAGTCTGCTACCTAGTAAGTGATTACCCCTCCTTCATACTTCCATCCCTAATAATCATCAAAGAATGTTGTTTTTTGTGTGTAAACCTATTCTTGACTTTTTATAAAAGTGATACTGTACAATATTTGTCCTTTTGTAATTTACTTCACTCAGCATAATGTTCCCTAGATTCTTCCATGTTATGAGATGTTTCTCAGATTCATCATCATTCTTTATCATTGCATAGGTATTTCATTGTATATATGTACCACATTTTGTTTATCTATTCATTTCTCAGTGGACACTTAGGTTGTTTCTATCTTTTTGCTATGTGAACAATGCTGCAGTGAACATGGGTGTGCATATGTCTATCATATCACTGTTCTTATTTCTCTAGCATGTATGTCTAGGAGTGGGATTGCTCTATCATATGGTATTTCTATTCTAGCTTTTTGAGGAAATGCTGTGCCATTTTTATAATGGTTGAATCATTTTATAAACCCACCTGTAGTGTACAAGAGTTTCAATCTCCCCACAATCTTCCCAGCATATGTTTTTTTTTTTTTTTTTTTTTTTTTTTGTCAGTTCCATTTTTGCAGGGATGAGATGGTATCTCACTGCAGGGAGCTCTGGTGGCATAGTGCCTAAGTCATTTGACTGCTAACCAGAAGACTGGCAGTTCAAACCCACCAGCCACTCCTCGGAAGGAAGGTTGGACAATCCTACTTCCGTAGTGATACTGCCTCGGAAACCCAAGGAGGGGTCGCTATGAGTCGGGGCCGACTCGACAGCATATAACAACAACAATGACAACAAATCTATGTCAGGGAGCTCTGGTAGCATAGTGGCTAAAGCACTTGACTGCTAACCAGAAGGCTGGCGGTTCAAACCCACCAACCACTCCTCAGAAGGAAGGTTGGGCAATCCTACTTCTGTAGTGATACTGCCTCGGAAACCCAAGGAGGGGTCGCTATGAGTCGGGGCCAACTCGACGGCACATAACAACAACAACAATCTATGTCATAAACACACTATCAAACATAACAAAAACACAGTTTGGTTAGCAGTCAAGTGCCTTAGGCACTATGCTACCAGAGCTCCGATTAGGACCCCTATATTCATTCCTATGCTCTCTTCCAGGAACTTTATAGTTTTAGGTTAACATTTAGATCTTTGATCCATTTTGTTAGTGTTTGTGGATGGTGTGATAGATATCCAGTTTTGCCAGCACCATTTGTTAAAGAGACTATCTCTTCCATATTGAATGGACTTCAACCCTTTGTCAACGATCAGCTATCCGTAGCTGGATGGATTTATTTTTAGGTTCTCAATTCTGTTCCATTGGTCTATGTGTCTGTCATTGTACCATTAGCAGCCTGTTTTCACTACCATGGCTGTATTGTAAGTTCTGAGATCAGAAAGTGTGAGGCCTTCAGCTTTGTTCTCCTTCTTCAATTATGCTTTAGCTATTTGAGGCCTCTTTCCTTTCCATATAAAATTGGATATTAAGTTTTCAATTTCATTAAAGAATTTTGTTGATTTGGATTGGTATTTCAGGGTATCTATTGATTGCTTTGAGCAGTACCAACATTTTCAAAATGATGTGTTTTTCCATTTATGT